GAGAGAGAGAGAGAGAGAGAGCACTCTCGAGCTCACTATGTAACCTACAGTGTCTTTGTATGTGCTGTGTAGCTGAGGTTCCCCTCAAGCTCCTCATGGTCCAGCTATCTAGGATTACAGACGTCTATAATGCCTGGTTGTATTGTTTTTTTCACTCCCGTTTCTGAGTTTTATGTCCAGACTTAAATAAAACTTGCTTCTTTGTTTATTTGGGAAAAGAATACATGTGTCTATGTACGGAGTCAGGAGAACTTTGTGGTATCAGGTCTTTCCTTTCACCTTTACATGGGTTCTGGGAATCGAACTTAGTTCATCAGGCTTGCTTTGCAAATACCTTTACACCCTAATCCATTTTACTGGCTCTGTGTTCAGACTTCTGTAGCTCAATTTAAAATAAAAATCCCTACTCAGACCATGTATACTAAACATAAATGATAGTGCTGTTGTTAACATAGAGAAAGTGCAGTTAACTTGGTGAGTGCTTTTGGATTTCTCTCTTACTGGAATATCAGTGTACTTGATGTATATGCTAGTAATAGAAGATGAGAATCTGAATATGCATTTCCATCCTTTTCCATGATGTTCTGATTTGGAGTCCTGTTATAAATTGATTAGGAACCAAGTGTTCATTACCTTGATAAAAACATTCTTAGTTGCTTTGAGCTTTGCTTTTTCCCTTTAGCCTGAGGTTCCTGTTCGTCTGTTTCAGTACAAAGTGCCTCTTCTGGGGCCACTGTAGTTTATGGTCAAGTATAAGTAAGTGTATCCTCTCAGATTAAAAATTCCTTGATAAGCTCAGTGGTGGTGGCACACACCTTTAATCTGAGCACTTGGGAGGCAGCAGCAGGTGGATCTCAGAATCTACAGAGTGAGTTCCAGGACAGCCAGGGCTACACGGAGAAACCCTGTCTTGAAAAACCAAAACCAACCAACTAATCAACCAACCAACAAAAATAAAAAAAATTTTTTTTGATGACAGGAACCATGCCTTAGCTATTTTATAGACTTTATATATTAATTTTACTGATATCACATATATTAATTTATATTGTCAAAGGTAGTTGCTGCAAGTATAGAAAATGGATATAGTGACACCTTTGCTTTTTTCAGCTTCTTTGCCCAAAATGCAGTGCCAAGCTGGGTTCCTTCAACTGGTATGGAGAACAGTGCTCATGTGGTCGATGGATAACGCCTGCTTTTCAAATACACAAGAACAGAGTGGATGAAATGAAAATGTTGCCAGCACTGGGATCACAAACACGGAAACTATGAACTTAGGTCACAGCGTGGAATAAAACCTGATGAAACGTACTTCTCTTGATGGTTATCTTTCATAACAGAAGTCAAAATTTCATTTGGAGTGGCCGAAGATAATTACTGTAGCAGATATGTGTTGGTAGCTTACTACTACATGGTGTATGATGTATATGCAGTACTTCACTGGTCAATCCAGGCTTTTAATCATGTAAATTCGATTTGTTATTAAAATCTTTATTTTAATTTGTTGTGTTTCATGTTTTAAAGGTTTTGTGCTCTTTGGATCTAGCGCCTGCTTTAAGCATGCTAGGCAAAACATTCTACCTCTGAGCTACATCTGGAACATCTTATATTTTTAAAAGTTATACTTTGTAGTATGTTAGTTATGTGATACTAAAGTCTAGATGGATGAAATTGTATGTAAACACTTGAAACTGTCAGTATCTAGGTAGATATTCTTTCGTTTTCAGAAATATAAAGCAGATTAATTTGTTTTATTTTGGAAAATTATTCCTGTGTCTCATTTAAGGGACATTAGTAAACCTACACATGCCTTTGGTGACTCCTCAACTTACCATCTAGCCATCCTACACCATAACATATGGCAGATAATTTGAAGTTACATTTTTCAGTGTAATGTGTAATGTACACTGAGAACATGTGTGCACTATTGTAGGTGATGCAGTGAATAAACCACACAGACCCCTGTTTTCTGGCTACATATATTCCAGCTGGAAGGGGCAATATCTTTTTGAAAGCTAATTGTACTTATCAGTGAGGAATGGCTAGGAAACCTAATGATGTATGTAAAGTTCAGCCAGGGTACCAGTGTGTGCTTGTAATTCCAGAACTCTGGAGGTGGAGGCAGGAGGATCAGGAGTTAAAGGTCTTCCTGAGCTTTGTAGAGAGTTGGAGTAGAGGCCAGCCTGGCTACAGGAATCTCACACAAAACAGAAAAACCACGGTGCATGCACACTGCTTCGGGGCCGTTGGGCAGCATGACCCTAAATGTGTCTACTTCTCTTGCTAAGTCAGGTTGGTGCTACCAGGAACCAGCCAAGACTTTGGTTCTGGCTATCATGTTGGGCTTGGGAGGCTGGTGTGGGCAACTAACTGGTGGCTGATCCGGGACTAAGGGCCCTAAAACAGATAACAGTCAACGTCTGGGCCTCTCCAGTGGTTAAAAAAAAAAAATTCTTTTACAGTTTTATTCATGTATATAATGCTTTCTGATCACACATCTTACTCTTAATCTTACCCTTCCCACCCTTAATACCCCTCCCAACACCCTCTGACTTTCATGTCTTTGTTTCTCTTTTGTGACCCACTGAATTTAACTGGCACTATCTGTGAGCACAGATGTGGTTGAATCCAAACTAGCATTAAGAATGACATCAAAGTCTTCTTTAATCTCTATATCCCGATGTTTGGTTTCACTATTTAGGGTAATAGATATCTTAAAGATGTCATACTTCAATGCTGATCTGACTAAAAATCTAATAGTACTGATGAGACACAATATAACTAAGGTGTAATTTCACCGGTCAGGTTTTTTAACCAGTATTTATTGGTAGGCTACCACTGGAGTACAAACCAAAGTCTACTAACATCTCCAGGTTACACATCCGTGACTAATAAATGGTTTTATTCACTTAATGAGCATACTTTTATAGTGAAAGTGAACTTGGAGGCCAGGTTTGAATTTAGAAATGTGAAGTATGCTTGCAAAAATAAAAGCAAACCCCTCCAGTTTAGCCTCTGTGTAAAACTGGCAGCTTTAGGAACAAGTTAAACATAACTATGAAGATAAAGTCAGCAGACTTGAAAACCAGGCAGTTCTCCAGGACAAGACTTGTTTCTTCAACATATGGTGCCAAACGAAGTGGGGAAAAGTGTTGCAGAATATTTGTTTATACTGTGTGAAGATGTGTCATAGTGATTGGTTTTTAATAAAGAGCTGAATGGCTAATAGCTAGGCAGGAGGGCTAGGCAAGATTTCCGGGGGGCAGAGGGGAGGAAGAGGGAGGAGGAGGAGGAGGAATCTTGGCACAGGGATTATGCCAGGTAGGCGCCAGTGAGACTGAATAAGTCCGACACAGTACAGGGACATACAGTACAGAGTAGAGGTAACTGAGCCGTGTGGCAGAATGTAGATGAATAGAAATGGTAATTTGAGTTATAAGAGCTAGTTGGGGACAAGCCTAAGCTAAAGGCCAAACTTTCATAATTAATAAGTATCCATGCTGTTATTTGGGGGCTGGCAACCCAAAGATCGTCCGACAAGAAACCTTTCTACAGAAAAGGGATTGCCATGTGAGCTAAACACATTGTTACTCTTATTTGTATCTTCATTTTCACAAGCCAACTCTAGGTGGGCATTTTAATTTATTTTTAGTATTTATGTGTACGTGAGTGTACGTGTTTGACTTTATGTGTACCAGATGTGTGCAGGATCCCTTGAAACGGAAGAGTGATGCATAAATCTAATCTTATCAATAAAAACCAGGAGTCAGATACTGGGATAAAAACTTGAAAGATCAGAGAAGCAGGGGAGCAGCCACAGTTGCTTTCTACCTCTCTGGTTCTTCCGACCAAAAGGGGCTGAGATCCACTCTCTGCCCCACCTTATCACTTCCTGTCTCCTCTCTGTACAGACCTGCAGACCTCTATGGTTAACTAGTGGCTGGCTCTGCCCTCAGACTCCAAGTAAGCTTTATTTGTCAGAACACAAACAAAATATCACACAACAGAAGAAAGCTTCCGATCCCCTGGAGTTGGAGTTATAGATGGTTGTGAGCTGCCATGTGGGTGTTGGGAACTGAACCTGGGTCCTCTGTGAGAGGATGTGCTCTCATTGCTGGGCCATCTCTAGTCCCTAGACAGGCATTTTTAAGACTGAAAATTGAATGTGGAACAGGTAAATATTAGATTTTATTAAGGAATTACTGACTTTGTTAGGTATATATGGTATTTTCAAAACAGGCTTTGTTTTAGATAGATGAAACACTGTGTCTCTGACATTTGCTGTAAGACACTCCTATAAGGAATGAAAAAGGCACTGGGAAGAGGACAGATGGAGCAGGAGTTCCATGGCTGAAGCTGGATGGAATAGTGACATGGGCATTCACCATATTGCCTTACATTTGTTAAAATCAATGTTAAAGTGTTACTGTGTACACAATGTAAGTTTTTCTAAGTGGAAAATCCTAAGAAGCACACAAAGTATGACAGTAATGGAATCCAGCAAGGGGAAGTGTGGTACAAAAGTCAATAATGTTACTATATCTTAAGATACCAAACCACAGAGAAAAAATGAAAAACAGAACTAAAAACTCTGAAGAGGAAAGCCTTAATGACCTCAGGATAGGCAAGGATTTCTTTTTTTTTTTTTTTTTTTTTGGTTTTTCGAGACAGGGTTTCTCTGTGTAGCTTTGCGCCTTTCCTGGAACTCTTTGGAGACCAGGCTGGCCTCAAACTCGCAGAGATCCGCCTACCTCTGCCTCCTGAGTGCTGGGATTAAAGGCGTGCGCCACCACCGCCCGGCAGGATTTCTTAAAATACAAGTGATAGAGTGTTGTTCGAATTGTAGAGGTCTTATTAATAGAAAACCCAGAGCCAGATATTGGGGTGAAAGCTGAAAGATCTGAGAAGCAGAGCAAGCCGCAGCCTACCTTACTTCACCAACTCCTCAGACGATCCTGTTTCCTCAGACCGAAAGCCTCTGAGTCCTCACCCGAAAGGGTCTCAGCTGAACTGCTTTAGTTCCTGTTTATACCTTTCTCTGCCCTTCTGTAACTTTCTGGGATTAAAGGGGTGTGTGCTTCCCAGTACTGGGCTTAAAGGTGTGTGCCACCACTGCCTGGCTCTGTTTCCAGCGTGGCCTTGAACTCACCGACATCCACAGAGATCTCTGCCTCCTGAGTGATAAGATTAAGTGTGTGTGCCACCACTGCCTGGCCTCTATGTCAAATCTAGTGGCTGGCTCTGCCTCTGATCCCCAGGCAAATTTATTAGGGTATATAATGTATCGCTACAGTAGAGACCTAACAAAAGACTGACAAATTCACTACACAATCCCCCCTAAATAAAGACAAATGCTAAGCCAGGAGAAGATATTCACAGCACATGCAACAGTAAAATGAATAAAGTAGGCTATCTAAAGACCAATGGACGCATCATAGAGAGAAAGGAAACCCAATAGCACACTTTATACGAGTGGACAGTTCACAGAACATTGTATAGTTTAATGAATGTTAAGGAATACAACATTCCTGAACTGCTAGAGAAAGGTAAACTAGTCACAAACACAGAGTGTCACAAACTAAAAGTCTGATCATATCTAGTGTTGGTGAATATGCTGGTGAGGATGTAAACTGCTCATTTTGCAGGTGACCCAGTAAACATGTAGAAAATACGCTTGCAGGTAATTAATATATTTTATGTACTAGTAAACAATTCAAAGACCCAAGTGTCCATTTAGGTAAACAGAAAAATTGTCATTACATCTATTCAAGGAAATACAGCAGTTAAAACATGGAGAGAGCCTCAAAGAGTAATGTGTCATGACAGTGATTTGGGGAGCATTATAGTGTTATACGTTTATGTGAATTACCCGCCCCCAACACTCAATATCTATATTTACAAACATTTAAACATGGTAAAAGTAAAAATGAACTAAAAAGATTTCTATAAAATTCATGGTAGAGCCTGGTGTTGCACACTTTTAATCTCAGCACTCGGGGAGGTAGAGGCAGGAGGATCTTTGTGAGTTCGAGACTAGCCTGGTCTACAGGGCGAGTTCTAGGATAGCCAAGTCTACACAGAGAAACCCTGTCTCGAAACAAAATAAAACAAAATTCATGGTTGGAATTATCTGTTTGGACAGAGGGAAATTAATTTGGGTGTTCAGTGGCTTCGTGGGGAGAGAGCTCAACTTTCCTGTATATAAAATTTAAAATTTCATATACTGTGAGGAAAATTTAGATATAAGCCAAAAATGTTAACATTTGTTTACTTTTGATGATAGTCATCCAAACATTTGTATTGTAATTGCCCAGACTTTTTGAATAAGAGAATTTGATAAAAAAAAATTAAATTTTATAAAAGTTAAAACTGAAAAGTTGAAGTTCAAACATGATTTTCTTAAAGACCATGATGTTTGGTAGGCAGAGAAAACTCGATTTTATTTCAGTTTGTATGTCAAAGAATTTGAAGCGCCAGAATGAAAGTGTTATCAATTTCACGGTAAATAAAAAAATATATATCATTCCAACGACGGAAGGACTGACAATTATTGTATGGGGGCTTAAAAACCCTGTGTGTGTGCGAGCACGCCCATGCCGCGCATTGCACGTGTCTATGCGGGTGCGCTCCCGGCCGGCCGGACTTGACCGCTGAGCTGGCTCTCCTCCCGGCTTTCCTGCATTCCGCAATCGGTAGTAACAGCAGCCACGAGGAGCTCGGAGGGTTCTGGGAAGCGTTTCTGTTTTGTTTGTAACCATGGGAAAAATTCTACTCGGTCCTAGAGGGATCCGCGTTCATTCACTGTTTCCTTTTGAAAGTCACCCGCCCCTGAAATCGAGTAAAACTGACAAAGAAACAATACTAAGTACGTTCTTGGAACTATTTTTTCAAACCCACTTTACATTTCCAGTTGGAATTCATGATGCGTATAGTTTTCTTCCAAAAATATTTAGAATCTTGAAGTTTCAGTAATAGAAGATCGACAGCCTATTGCGAGTTTTAGAAATTCTTTAGGAGGCAAGTGTGGACATGAAGAGTTTATCTTATATATTTCTTTGTTTAAATTTGCTGGAAGGTGGGCTTTCTACAAGTATAATTTGTGAGAATGTCCCCCTCCCCCGCCCCCCGATTCTGTGCCAGAAAAGAAGCAGTTCTAACAACTGTGAAAAATTCTTTATGTTTGTCTTTATTTACTGTGTACATGAAAAACTTTTACAGCGAAAGTATTCACAAATACGAATCAGATTTGCTGTCGATTTTTAATTTTGTTCTGCGATATCTTCATCGTAGTATTAAGCAATCAAAGCACAAACCATTATGTTTAGGAGACTTTAAATATTATCCACGAATTTTAACTGAAGCAGTTAAATCTGCGTGCTCTCTGCCCTTTAAAAAAAAAAAAAAGAAAGAAAGAAAAATAAGAACAACAAAAAAACCCCACAGCGGGACAGAAAGTGCTGAAATCACCCACAGGGAAACATTTACTCACAGGTCGACTTGGCTGATCCGCTGACGTCTCCTTGGCTTTTTGCCACAAGGGCCGGTGTGCCGTTGAGGTAGTTTGCCTCCGCTCGGCCACCGTCCGTCGGCGCTCAGCATATTTTGTCCGCCGGCCGCCGCCGTTTCGGATTACTCACCGATCCGAGTTGTGAGGGAGAGGCGTCTGTTTCGGGGAAGCCGGCTGGTGTGGCCGGCACCATGGAGTCGCCTTTTAGCCCGGGATTTCCTCGCGGTCCAGAGGAAGACTGGGGTGAGTGGACCTGCGGATGGACCCGGGCTAGCTCGGGCCGCGTCTGCGGGGGGGTTTTTCCTCCCGGTTTCCGCCCGGTGGCGGTGACAGGTGTGGACGAACCCTGCCAAGGGAGCGAGGCTACCGATTGCGGGTGGTGGAAGAGACTGGCAGAGCCACAGGGCTCCTGTTCTGGCCGCAGCGACAGTGATGTTCTGATCGAAATGGCTCTAGTTTTTCAATGTACCTTCCTGGTGGAAAAACCAGGTGATCTTGAGGAACCAGAACTCCGCAGGATGACTGGGGCTGCCCCAAAGGCTCCAAGCTATTTTCTCAGGCTGAGGGCTGTGGGTGGGGAGAGAACGTGTGTGTGTGTGTGTGTGTGTGTGTGTGTGTGTGTGTGTGTGTGCGCACGCGCGTATGAGTGCACTGCACGTGCGCGTGGCATGTGTGAGAAATTATGGTTGGAATACACAGAAGAAAATCCTTATCAGTTTTCGCTGTTGGTTTAAGGCATAGCTCCAAACTGGCAGAGAAGCAAAGCTCCCAAGCACCTGACCCATGTCCCTGATTAGATCTAACACTTACAAACTGATGTAATACTGACTGCTGTCCAAACATAGCTCTGAAATTCCTTGTTAAGTCTGTCTTGCTTGGTTTTGGTGTTCAGGAAGGATGGAATGGAGAATGACAGTGGACAAGCATTGCCATCTAAATCCTTAGAGGAAGCTGATACTCCTCTCTTGATTACAAGACAGAATATTAACGGGATCCAGTATGAATTTGGAATTCCGTAGGTACCTCAGTGGATCCTGTAGTGAGACTGCACCGTTCCTCAGTGTTGTAATTTTGGGGCATTATTTTCCTTGGACCAGACCAGCATTCCACCACAACATGAGTGGACTCTCAATTAGAATATGTTGAACATCCTAGTTTAATTTTCCAGTGGCAGATGTGCTGTACAATTATAATCTATGAGAGATTTATTTTAATCCTTGGGTAGATTTTCGAAGACTTTATGGAAAAAGCTTTAGATGTCCGTTCTCCAGTGCATTTTCCCAGCTGAATATTTTGTTATAGTAACATTAGCCACTTGCTTAGGACCTTATTTTTGTCAGCTCTTAAGCTAAGCACACTACATGTGTGATTTATGTTCACAATAGCCCAGTGCGTCCTTTAGATGCTGAAACTGGAGCTGACAGAATTTGTGCTCAGAGTCTTGGAGGTGTTAAATGGTTAAAAGTAGGATTAGAACTAAGGCAGTCTAACTTTGAAGTCTGTGCCTCTGGTTTTTCTATTCTGTAGCATTTTCCTCATTTTTTTCCCCCTAAGGATGGATTCTTCCTAATGCTGCCTCCTCCTCCTCCTCCTCCTCCTCCTCCTCCTCCTCCTCTTGTTCTTCTTTTAAAACAAGTCTACTTCAGTATGTTGGGTGGTTATGATTTATTTTCTCAACCATTTGACCCTTATATTTTCATGGCATTTCTTAAACTCCAACACCAAGTACTTCTGATAGCATTAGTTTGTCTTGTTTTCTGACTCTCAGCTACATTTTCCTAACTCCTAGACTGATTCTTCAACAAAACATTCAGTCCTTTGTCGTTGGTTGACTGACTCCGTTCTCAGGTGTCCTGCCCCATTTCTCCTTGAATATGCCCTTTTCCCGTTGTCTTTTAGGTTTCTTTTTCAGAGCGTTGACAATCATCTCTCGGTGGTTGAATACTTTTGTCCCTTAGGTGTTCAGTAGGTGGGATGGATGTTGCAGTCTTTAGACACTACTGTCTACTGGGGTTTCTCAATAAAATAATGGATTCTTTGAGAGCTGCTGTTTTGGATATTTGATTATTTTACTGATGTACTGATGTTTTAAAAATTTTAGCAGCTGCTCTGTTAAAATTTAAAAATTAGCTTTTATAATTGGTATTTCTTACGATTAACAACTTGAATAATTTGAAGGATGTTATCTCAGCACAGGGTATGATGGGACATCTTCTATTTATTTATTTTCTAAAACTGAGTAATGAAATGTAGAGCTGACGTCTGCAAATGTCTTTTGAAAAGGTCCACATAGCGGATATTTCGGGCACCGCTATCATGCGGTCTGCTGCAGCTGCTCTATCACAGTGAAAAGGCAGGCGTGGGCGGTGGAGATCAGTGAGAATGACTGTGTTCCCGTGAAAGCGTGTGGAGACTGGAATTTGGATTCCACATAGGTGTATTTTGTTATCTCTTCTCCTCAGCTATTTACTTAGAATCTTTTAAAGACATTGTTTTACTGTGTAGTTCAGGCTGGCCTCAAACTTCTGATATTCCAGTCTTAGTCTTCTAAATGCTGGGATTATAGGCATACAGTACCATATCTGGCTGCCATTATTGTTACTGTTGTTGTCTTTTGAGACAAGGTCTTGCTATATAGCCCAGGGTGGCCTACAGCGTTCATAGGTCTCCTGCCTCTGGCTCCCCAATTATATTTAGTACATTACTTAATAATCTTTTTAAAAGTACAGCTTTTGATTTTTAGAGTAATTGTACAGATAGTACATGTAATTCCATATACGTCCCCTCTCCTCTCTACAGTTCCCTCTACTGGTAACATCTTACATTACTGCGCTGGTTAGTTGGTTTTTGTTAATTTGAAACAAGCTAGAATCATCTGGGAAGAGAGAACCTCTATTGAGAAATTTTTCCATCAGATTGTTGGCAAGTCTGTGGGTCTTTTTAAAAAATTTTTTTATTAATAATTGACGTTGGAGAGCCTAATCTGCTGTGGGTGGTGCCAACCCTGGGCAGGTGGTTTTGGGGTATATAAGAAAGCAGGCTAAGTAAGCCATGGGGAACAGCATTCACCCATGGCTTCTGCTTCAGTTCCTGTTTCTCGGTTCTTGCCTTGAGTTCCTGCCCTGACTTGCCTTCACGTAGACAGTGAATGGGACACGTAAGCCAAACCAGCCCTTTTCTCCTCAAGTTGCTTTTGGTCGTGGTGTTTTATCACAGCCATGGAAGGCAAACTAAAGCAATTAGTGTGGTATTTTTGTTAAGATGGGTAAACCAGTGTTGATCAATTTTTTTTGAGACAGGGTCTCTGACTTGGCCTGGAACATCTGATGTAACCCAGGCTTGCCTTGAATTTGTAGTGCTCTTTGCCTCAGCTTCCCAAATACTGGAATTACAGGCATGAGCCACCATGCCCGGCTTGATGATCCATTAGCGTTAAGTGAAGGATGAGCCTTAACACGGGGGTTTTGACAAGTGTAATGCCATGGGTCCATCATTACAGGGTTGTACAGAGTAGGGTGAAAGCGTCGCTCTCTCAACACTCCCTGTGTTCCATCATTTATCCCTCCTTCCTTCCACCTGATGGTCCCCTACCCCATGATAGATCTTCTCACTGTCTCCACAGTTTTGCTTCCGCTGTATAGTTAACCATGCGGTACGGAACCTTTTCAAACTGACTTCTTTACTTAGTAGTATGCATTTGAAGTTCCTCTGTGTCTTTTTGTGCTTTGATGGTGTATTTCTTTTTAGCACCAAATAGTGCTAAATACAAGGGTTTTGACAAATGTTTGATGACACTGATCTGTCATTACAGAAGCCTCTGTGGTGTGGAGGATGCTAGCGTGTTCAGGTTTTGATGCTAGCCCTCTTCTTGGCTTGTAGATGACTGCCCTCTTGCTGTGTCCTCACATGGTGTTGAAGGAAAGAGAATTCTCCTCTTCTTACAGCATCATTTCGCCTTAGTCATCTCCTCAAGACCCCGTGTTGGATGTAGCCATCTTGGGGATTAGGGTTTCAATATGAATTTTTGGAGGACATAATTCAGTTTAGAGCACATAGTTTGTATATCTATTTACATGTTGATATCTTGGTCACTTCTAATTTTTGGCAGTTAGACATGAAGCTGCTCTAAACATCTGTGTGTAGGTTTTGTGTTGATGTAAGTTTTCATATTATTTGGACTGATAACTAAGGAGCTCAATTACTGGATCATATTGTAGTTTGGCTTATAAGAAACTGCCAGGCTTGTACCATTTTGTGTCTCCACCAGCAATGAGTGGATATTTCTATTTGCTATCATTTGCTGTTGCCAGTACTTTGGAGTTTACCTTTTTTTGTTTGTTTGTTTGGTTGGTTTTGGTTTTGGTTTTTCAAGACAGGGTTTCTCTGTGTAGTTTTGGTGCCTGTCCTGGATCTCACTCTGTAGAACAGGCTGGCCTCGAACTCACAGAGATCTATGTGGCTCTGCCTCCCAAGTGCTGGCATCAAAGATGTGCACCACCGCCGCCTGGTGAGTTTAGCCATTTTGACAGGTGTGTGGTGGTGCCTTGTTTTAATTTGCAATTTGCTAATGTTATATGGTGTTGAGCATCTTTCCATGGCTAGTTTGCAGTCTTAAACTTTCCTTCTTCTTGCCTCCTCTCTCCCTCTTGCTTGAATTGCACAAAAACCACTTTCTTTCTTTCTTTTTTAAAGCCACTTAAGAGGTATGTGTTAAGATGAGAAGCTGCTGCGGTTTCTCTCACGTCTTTAGTGTCTTCTTTGAAGCTTCTCTTCCTTTTCTTGCGCTAACCAAAGCGCGACACTGCCTTGATGACACAGTTTTCCCCAAAGTCCTGGTGAAAGCCTTCTGCACTCGCCACCTCAGAATATAGTCAGTGTCTTTCTTGTCCTTCTCTGTCATTTCTAGAGCATGCTTCTTTTCTCCACATTAAATATCTAGGTGTCAATCTTACCTTGTCACAGTATGCAATCTTCCACCTCTTTCTGTTGCAGAGATCTCTGATTTTTCCATCATTTCTTGGAAAATGTAGCTACTAATTTACTGTTGCTTTCTCCGACATTACCTGTTAGGATCCTTAGATAGTTTAGTAGGCTCAGCCAGTCTGTTCTCTGTCTTGTTACTAATAATCGTTCCCTAAACCTTCTTTCTTCAGCCTCTGACACCTCCTCTTTCATGCTCTGCATCCGAACTTCAGTCTCTGCTCATTCCCCTACCGGCACGGTTGCCTTCCCTCCTTGCAGAT